CGGGCTCCATCACCAGCCCGCTGTACCCCGGCAACTTCACCTCGGACACACCCACCTCCTGCTCCTGGCTCATCAGCCCGCCCCCGCGCAGTCTCATGATGCTGCGCATCGACTTTGCCCCACAGCCGTCCACGACGAACTGCGTGCAGAGTTACCTGGAGATCCGCCAGGGACCCGCCACTTCCTCCCCGCTCATGGGACGATTCTGCAACGTGAGTTTTTTTACGTGGTTTGTTTTTTATTTGTGGGTTTTTTGTGTGTGTGTGGGGGGGGGGGGGTTGTGGCTCTTCTCAACATGTACGAAACTGAATGTGTTAAGTTTTGAAATAAAATCTCAGAAGGGGGATAAACGATTTTCAGTCTGTCCACCAAGTATAGTGGAGTTAAAAGAGCAACATATTCAATAGGACCGAAAAGGTGGAAGTCTGAAGGAACCAAATCAGGAGAATAAGTTGGGTGTGGCAGTGTTTTCTTCATAAACGGGGTGATTGTCTCCCTTGTTCTGGTACTCGAATGCAGGCGGGCATTGTCATGGTGAAAAGACACTCTTTCCATGTTCAAATTTGGTCTGGCTCGTCGAATTCTCGCTTTCAGTCGTTTCAATGTTTCAATGTAGGGTTCAGAATTGACAGTTGCTCCTCGTGATTAAAAAGGTTTTTAAAAATCGGTGAGAAGCAAACTATGAACGTCCCAAAACACAATTGCCATAATTTTTCCAACTGACTCCTGGGGACGATGCTTGTTTGACAAGCATTATTATGGACACCTCTTCCTCTTCTTCCGGTCCATTGCCCAAACGTCTGACTCACCTATGTACAGAGACAAAATCTAGAGCTTTGTCCTTGTAAACATTCTGAAGTCTCTTTTGGATGTTATCAGTGGATTTTCCTTCTAAAACAAGAAATTTAATTACTGATCTTTACCTCTGACATACCCCCAAAAGGGTAGCCATTTTGAAGTAACGTCATTTGAGCCAAAATTAAAGAAACTTAAATTTTATCAGTTTGAGTTCAAAAGTATGCACGCAAGTACTTGTATGCTAAATTTCATTAAATTTGATGCAAAATTGTGCAAAGTAACGAACAACTTGAATTACTTTTTTACTCGCCTTCAGGCGAGAAATTGCTTCCTTTCACTGCTGTCTCAATGTTTTAATTTGTTGTTTTTTACTACTGTTTGTTTTCAGGCCTGTATGGCTCCAGCAATCTAGAAGGTTTGAAGATCGATATGATTCAGCAATTAAGAGAAGATCTGCTTGGGGTTGAGGGAAAGGGATTTGGCGAACAGGACGCAGCCAAAAAGGTAAGAAGTGATAATATGTGGTAGAAAATAGATAAAGCATGATGTAACAGAGACTTCATTACAGGATTTCTCAGAGTAATAAATAGGCTAAACAGTCAATACTTTGTAAGTGAAAGGATTATCAAAAAGTATTAAAATGATAAGTGTGGTTTTGAATTTGTTTTCAGGAATAAACAATTGCAAAAGTGCTATGATCACCGGTCATATTAGCTTTTTGACACTGCCTATAAAAAAAAACTTGAGTTTTGTTATTGCCTAATTTTGATAAAGTGAGGAAACTAGACTTCTGGGATAAAGGGAAAAAACTCCGAGGTCCCGTGTGCAAGTTGTGCTTAGGGGAGATCCCTTGGCAGTCCAAAATCGATAAAAGTAGGCTTCGCCCGCCAACGGGGCAAAATTCAAAATTTCCTATCTGTGGAAATAATCAAATTAATGTTTAATGTGTCTCACGCGCTCATCTGATCTTATGCAGTTCGGAGCGCCGTAATACATTTACTAAATAACAAAAACAAAAAAGGGAGGAAGTAATTATCTGAAGAGCGCAAGGGGAAAACAATATATGCCAGCTTTTGCCCGATTTGAGTTGTGGAGTGGGTTAGAAAGTGTTAACTCACCTCTTGTCGCTCATTTAAGTGTCCTCGGCTGAAACCTGATGACTTTCCAAATATAAGGCTGGGAAAATAAGCTATACTATGTAAATAAGTTGGCTGTCATGTATATGTTATATGTGAATATTTATTCTTTTTTTTTTTACAGTATGGACAAATCCTTATGAATGATGTTTCCCTTCCAACTGCCTATAGAATCCTAGGCTTTTAATTTGGAGCTTGCTTTCGTGTCTTGAAACTGAAAAAGAAAGGAATTGTTTGAGAGAAAACTGCTATAGAAGGGGGACAACTTGTGTCCTGCAGCAACCATACCATGTTATCCAGTTACCTCCCCCATACAACAAACGCCAAAGTCTGAGCGATACCGCCAGAGATGGCGTTGCTTGTGTACGATGCAGCCAAAACATCGCTGTTATGAAAGTGAATTCCAAACAAATTCAAAGCTGCGATTTGTGGTAAAGGTCTCTAAAAATACACAGCACCAGGAAGGCAGATTTTTTTACCAGTGTAAATCCCAATTTGTTTTTTGTTTTTTTTCACGCCATGCGTTGCCTTTGGCCAAAGTCATGACAAGGGTATTTCTGTGAATGGTAGTTTATGTATTATTACTTTTTTATAGTTTTGTTTATCTTTCTCTAACCGAAATTATATTTATCTGCTTCCCCCTTTCAAACCCATTTTCTTGTCTTTTTTTTTTTTGAAAATGTGTTCATATACAGGCTGAGATCGGCAATGAGCTGGCAACAAACGTTTACCCTCGCTATCTAAAGTACTTCAATGACATACTTAAGGCCAATGGAAATGGCTGGTCTGTCGGGAGCAAGGTGAGTTTATATAGATTTTTTTTTCTTTTTGATTTTTGTTTTGTTTTGTTTGTTTGTTTGTTGTTGTTTTTTTGGGGGGGTGATGTTTTCTAGCTCATAGGTTGCATTAAGATTGTGTAGTAGTCTAGCAATTATTTTCAATGACTCTTTTTCCCTCATTCACCCACTCACTCACTCACTCACTCACTCACTCACTCACTCACTCACTCACTCACTCACTCACTCACTCACTCACCCCTCATTCCTTCCCTCCCTCCCTTCCTCCATCCCTCCTTTTCTTCCTTCATTCCTACCTTCCTTCCTCATTCACCCACCCACTCACTCACCCACTCACTCACTCACTCACTCACTCACTCACTCACTCACTCACTCACTCACTCACTCACTCACTCACTCACTCACTCACTCACTCACTCACTCACTCACTCACTCACTCACTCACTCACTCACTCACTCACTCACTCACTCACGTACTTACTTACTTACTTACTTACTTACTTACTTACTTTACTTACTTACTTACTTACTTACTTACTTACTTACTTACTTACTTACTTACTTACTTACTTACTTACTTACTTACTTACTTACTTACTTACTTACTTACTTACTTAACTTACTTACTTACTCGCTCCCTATATCGTCAGGTACCTAGGTCCGAGAGCAATCAACGCCATGTTTATCTGTCCCTGGCCACCTCTTGCAATTTCGGTACATCTTACTGGGTGCTTGCATTTATCCCTGAATGTGCTTCTGTTGCTCCCTCTTAGCCTACCTCTTTTCTTTTTTCCAGTTGGTCTCTAATACCAGGTCAGATATGGCAATCGTGTTGCTGTCGTTCCCAAAGCATGTCATAATAATCCATATCCTCTCGTTTTGTTTCTTTTTTTTTCTTGATCGTGTTGATATTTTCAGCCCCAGCTCTTTCCAACACTTATTTGTATTATATTATTTCCTACCCTTGTTTCTTGTTTCTTAAGTTTCTTGACGTTGTTTATCCACTACATGCAGACGAAGCTCTCAAAAGACTTTCACTCTGTTTTATCAACTCTTTTCCATGGCCAGGGTGTACCCGTTTGCTCTCTGATGTCGTCTTGACATCCTCGTTCTGGTCTTCCTCTTGATCATTTTCCTGTTTTTGGTTTCCATCCCTACCCTTACACTAATCAAAATAACATCTGATTCCCCTGCGTTCCTCAGCTGTCCCTGGCTGACATTGTCATCTTCGAGGGCACCGAGTCCATACAACAGACCAACAGGGAACTGATTGACCAATTCCCAGAGGTCAAGGCACTCAGGGCCAAGGTCGCAAAGGTGGACGGCATCAGACAATACGTTCAGTCGCGAAAAGTTCAAGGATTCTAATTTTTTTTAATTGTGCTTGCTTAAATGTAGGTGCCAGTAGTGTATTCACTAAGACTTGCCTTGTCTGATATTATACTTTTTTTTTTCATTTATTTCTGACGTATTATTATATGAATTCCATTTTCGTTCAGTCTGTTTTAACTGAAAATTGATATACAAACATGATGTAATTTGAAGCAGTCTTGGTTGTCGGAGTACATTAAATCCATGTTGATATTTCAAAAGTCGTTGTTTTACTCTGTTCTTCTTTGATCTATTTCAATATAAATACGGCACAGTGTTGAAAGGAGTTGCTTCCCCATTATCACTGTGAGGTGTGTTACTCTTTCTGTACGAAGTGGACCCATGCATCCAATCAGCAGCAGGACAAAGACGATGTTCCGGCACAATTTTTGAACCATAATGCACAAATCAAAAATACGAATTTGCACATTTTCTAGTACCCATGTTGCAACCTGCTTTTCTTTATGAAGAAAAAAAAGTGCTGAAAAGTCTGTTAGAATAAATAAGTTACTCTTCTTTTAATAATTTCCTCCAACAGCGAGTCTTCAAAAGTTATCGCATGAGAGAATTACAAGATAGATAAGATTGCACTTTATTGTCCCAGAGGAAAATTTTTCTTGGCTGAACAGGAGCCGTAAAAACACAAGCAGGTATACATAGAAATTAATTTGTATATTACTCTCATCAAAATTCAATATGAAGAGAAAAGTAAAGCAAGACATTCATGCACATATCCCATCACATGCCAAGCAGGAATTTATCACATACCTTTAAAAGTTATATTATACGCGTGTATGTTCGAAACAGAAAATTATACACTTTGATGTTTATTCCGACTGTAGCCTCATACTACCTCGTAAGAAAATGCTTTTGTATCCCTCACTGAACGCCAAAGTCCCCGCATGAAATGAATTATCCGTAGATCTATTATAGTTGCTCTTACCTTGGTGGCAGAAGTCGCTGTCAACAGTATCATGTCTCAAGAGTTCTGAATAGTAATAGAACCTTTCGGCTCTTTGTACACGAAGCTAATGAGACATGATAAGGAGCAGGACTTTAAGTAAGATGGCAGTCGAGGTACTCTGTGCAAACAGCCGATACCTTAGAATGCTAGTCATGGTAGTATTGGTAACAATATAAGACATAAAAGGGATAAATAATATGACCTAGAGGGCAAACCGGGCACTTTTAAATCTAGAGCAACATACGAGGAGAACCCAAACAATTGGGTGACAGGGAAAGATCATGGTTATGTAGCTTTTCAGAAGAGCACCCAGTCAAAGGAATGATAAGAGAACGGGAAATGGTGATAATGAAGGTGGCCTGGGAGTGCGGAGTTCACTTCTAATGCCAAGGGTACCAGGTTCTAACCCAGTAAAAGCAGACTTACCCAATTTTCTCCTTCTCTTATTCTACTGCGTCTGCTCCCTCTTCCTTCTCGCTTCCCCTTCTTCGTTTAATATCTTTCTTTCCATGTCCAAGACTTTGATTTTCTCTCTTTCTCAGTTTCAAAAATTTCTCTTGCTCACTCACTCACTCGCCTACCCAATCTCCTTCTCCCTCCACACTCCTGATCTAAAGATGGATAACACCAAGCACCAAGTCTTCTCGGATAAAGACGAAAAATATTGGAAGTCCCGTGTACACATTGCGCTCGTTAAACATCCTTTGACGGCTGAACAGTAAACAGTAGGCCGCCATCTCGGCTAAATTCAAAATTTTAAAGTTTCCTCTCATAGGAAACATCCCTATTCCATCTATAAAACATAAGACACACCCTTACATCGACCGCAATTCCAAATGTATTGATGATGTCTCACCTTTTGAGCACACCAACGAAGTCAAGATCTTACGATGGGGGAGTATTACTTGGGGAATCTACTTATTTTGTGTCTTCGGCCCTGGCAAAGTTGTACCATGCATGCGGCTCTAACGATGCTTGTCGAGACGAAAGAGGTCATAGACCCAAGACCTAAAAACGAGGAATACATTTATTTTTAAAATTACGGCGACACAACACGCTACGCGGAAGTTTCCAAAAGAAACCTCACAAATGAAAAGCAGGCGAGGTTCTACCAGACAGACCAAGATCTAAAATATATAATATTTTTTACCCTCAGGTCCAGATTAATTATTATGATCTTGAAAAGTATGTATTGTATATTTGAGACATGTATTTATCAACGGAGAAAACATCGTGGAACTAATGACTCAAATCCTCTGAAGCAATAATTATTTCACAGTTTCCCTGTCGTCTGGCATCACGTCTGTAAACAGTTCCTAGTGTGAGCTGATTCGTATTTGTTTTAATAAAGAAACACATCGCAAATACTATACGTGTCTATAGGAATTTATGCAGAGAGAAGAGCATTTTATTCTGCTTGAGTTTCAGACGCCGCAGTAGGAAGAACCGCGCTGTTTTTGCAGAGAACATCTGCTGCCATATTGGTGATACAGGTACTGAGAGACTCAGAAATTACAGTACTTTTTTAGTAAGTAAGAGCTTTACGATATATATACAACACACTTAGGTCTCGTAAGTGCCGAAGGTTAAATGTCAGTGTTCTAAAACATAAAGAACAAACAAACAAAGGGGAAGAACGCTAGATGTCAGATAGGTAAGAAAGAGCAAACCACAACAGAGCATCCTTCAACCACCCACATCTTCGGGCTGCATAACTGATTTTGTAATATTTGACGCTTAATTTCACTCGTAAATGGATAGAGTGAAAACTCAAATGTATTGTGAGGCTTACTTTACTCTACTTTTATCCGCCGCGTATACCCTTTGGGGTGTCGCGGAAAGAAAGAGACGTCTCTCTGTCGCCAGCCGAAGAGCTTGGGTCAGAGGGATGCCGTGGGTGGTTAATGTTTCCCTGACTCCATCTATCCAGGTCTTTCTCGTTCGCCCTCTAGCCTTGTTGCCATCGAATTTTTTTATGTAGATCTAGACACATTGTGCTGGATGGTGTGTTGGTAATCGTAGGAGATGTCCGAACATCATTTGATTCTTTGGTGTTGGATGTGATGCATGACATCATTTGTGCCTACCATTTCTCAAATTAAAGAGTTTCTAATTTGGTCTCGCCTGGTCTTGTTTATTGCTTTTCAAAGGCATCGCATTTCATATGTTGTAATTCTGTGCTCTAATGTCTTGTTCGTGGTCCATGTTGGATTGATAGGTGAGTGATGGGATGAATATGGTGTTGATCATTTTGAGTTTTGTTGTCATGGGGATGTTAGGATGTTTCTGTAGTGGAGTAAGCTGGTAACTAACATTATTGGCCTTTCGTACTCGTGTTTCAATTTCTCTGTTCAGTCGCCCATTCTCCGTGAATATACTTCCGAGGTACTTAAATTCTTGGACCTGTCTGAGACCGTTGTTGTTGATGTGTATCCTGAGTGGTTCTGGCTTTCTGCTTACTTTCATTGTCTCGGTTTGGTTGATATTGATCTTCATGTCGTAGTTGTTACATTCTTCGTTTAATCTGGTGGTGTGATGTTGGAGACTTCGTTCATCTTTGTGTGCCAGGCTTTGGTCATGAGCGAAGAGTAATTCATTTAGATTTAGGGCGTCTTGTTCTGTGTTGGCCTCTTTTGTAATTTTATCCATATATATGATAAATAGTAGTAGTGATAGGACACAACCTTGTCTTACTTCGGAGGTTATCTAGAACCAATCTGTGAGTCCCACTGACATTCTTACTATACTTATGCTGTTCTCGTAAATGGCACGGATGTTATCTAGAAGTTGACCTCTTACAGAGTAGTTTTCGAATTCTTTCCACAGCGTGTTTCTGTTCACTCTGTCGAACACTTTCTCCTGGTCAATTAATACTATATTTAGATCTCTGTTGTGTTCTATTACCCTTTCGCACATTTGTCGTAGGGCCTCTTCCCTTTCTAAATCCCACTTGGGCCTCACTTAGAAATGGTTCAACGTTGTGTCTTGTTTGCCATACCAATATCTTGGCGAACATCTTGCCCACATGAAATGCCTCTGTACATTCCAGTCTCTCTTACTGCCTTTCTTCTTCCAGATTGGTACTATGACCGTTTTTTGCCAGTCGCCGGGAACTTTTCTTTCTGTCCAAGCTTTCTGGAAGATTTTTGTGAACCAAGTTATTCCAGTTTCACCACATGCTAGGATGGTCTCCGTGGTGAGCTCATCCATTCCTGTGCTTCTGTTTTTTGGGCTGGTTTTAACCTCTGATGCTAGGATGGTTGGTTCTTCTTCCTCTGTGTGACTTGGTAGGAATTCTCTGTTTGTTTGCTTTTGGGTGGTGTTCAAGAGTTCTGAGAAATATTCTCTCCATCTAGATTTAATTTTGGAGCTGTCGAAAATGGGGTTTCCTGTTTTGTCATTAATTATAGCTGTTGGGTCGTACGGTTCTTCTCTGAGCCTCATTGATTTTGCACTTTTGTAGAAGTCACGTTGTGATTTATGGCACAGTTCGCTTAGGTGTTCTCCATATTTGGTCCAAGATTCATTTTTGGATGCTCTAACAACTCTTTTGCAGTTCGTTCTTGCTAATCTGTATTGCGTGTAGTCGTTTTCGTCCTTGGATTTTATCCATTTCTGAAAAAGTTTTATCTTTTCTTTGATGGCCTCTTTAACGTTGTCATTCTACCATGATGTTCCTTAAAAAATGTGAGGCATTGTAGGGAAATCAGGCTATCGTCAAAATAATAAATGTTAAGAAAACATAATTTTTCCGCCCATTTGACGATAGTTCTCGAATTTTGGTTTGTTTGTTTTTTGTTGTTTTTTTTGGTTGTTTTTTTGTCTCAGCGACGTTTACTGTGTGGATTTATAGCAAAACCTTGATGAAAGGCACTAAAAATGTTAATTTCTAGTTTCCTTAAAACAAAAAAACTTACATTTGTAAAAGTACATTCATGTCAACCCGGTCATAGAAAAGTTTTGTTCATTCTGTATAGAAATAAAGTACATGGTGATCCAAAAAAAAAACTGTACAACATTTTTTCTGAATATCTCGCACAAAAATTGTTGCACAATGCTGTAATTGGGAACAGGAATTTGTTTGACATAAAATCCCCAAAGAAGAAACTAGTATTGAAAACGGAAATGACTTAAAGAAAAAAGCCCCTAAAAACGCAAAGTTCGCTGATTTAAAATTAAAGAAACCATGTAATCTTTATTTTCTTTTTTAGATCTATTTTTCCATCACTGTGACTTTTAAACAATATTTAATTTCTT